GCCCAGGCGGGTCTCAACCCCACGGGTTCAGGCAATCCACTCACCTCAGCCTCCCAAAGGCATGGGATTACAGGCTGAGCCACCGAGCCCAGCTGGCAGACCATTTTTATTCAGTTTAGACCATTGATTTAACAAAAGTTGTTCTACATGTCTATTTGGAGGATCATGGAGGGAGAGGAGGGAGTTGGTACTGAAAACATAGAAAGTGAAGTTCTTGTCTAAAATCAATAAATCAAGAAGAGCTATAAAAACAAATAATTCAAAAACAGGTAAATGTTAGAAGAAACAGGAGGTAGACAGTAGATGCCTCTTGAGAAGGGATAGGAGAAAAAAACATTGCTTTGACTTTTTACCATATGTAATCATTTAATACTATATTATTATTTTAACTATCCACATACATTTTGATAAAAATTTAAAATTCATTTAAAATGAGTTACAGTAATCTACATATCTATTAGATTAACTTATCTATTCGAATTAAGTTTCTTTTTTGGAAAAATACTTATGTTAACTCCTTGTGACCTACCAGGACTTAAAAGTCTCTATAATAGGAAAGTCCTTCAGTTGGGAAAACTGGGCTGGCAGCTAGTGGAACTGTAGCATCTTCTGTGTGCTCCAGAAACCTTGAGATCTGCAGTCTTTGTGGGAAAGTGACACACAAGCAGGTTTGGATCCTGCACCAAGGTTCAGGTAGAGAGTCAAGCTGGGGAAAAAACATAGAATGCCTGTGAGTGCCATGACTACAATGGTGCAAAGATGGTGTGTTCCTAACAAGAGGGAAACATGGACAATTGAAGACAGTTTGATGTGTCAGAAGTGGGAGAAGAAATAATTTTTCCCATTAATTTAGAATTATGTGAAGACTGCTATAATGTTTATGTAGAACAGAACAAAGGTGTTTTTCCCCCCTTAGGAAATTGGTGGCATTCTTTTCTTTGCTTCCCTTCTGCAGCTTAATTGCATACACGGAACAGTATGTGGAATATGACCCTCTGATAACATCGGCCGAGCCATCCAATCCCTGGATCAGCGACGATATCACATTGTGGGACATAGAGATGAGGTAAGAAAATGTTTTAGGGTTTAAGAATGGGAATGATGTAGAAGAAAAGTCATTAGGTCATGAGATTACCTTAATTTCTATCTTGATTTTACTTTTTATCAGTAGGAAAAAAAACCCTTAAGTAACCCCTCACCAAGTTCCACCTACTCAAATCCCTCCCTCCTTATAACTCTGATGTGTATGTGGGTCCTCTGAGGCCCCTCTGACCTCTTTCTGACTCTTAGGTGTCATGATGCCTGGGACAGTTCCTCTCCACTCCCTAGTTCTGACCTCTCTCTGACTCTTAGGTGTTGTGAAACCTGGGATAATTCCTTGCCACTCCCTAGTTCTGATCTCTCTCTGACTCTTAGGTGTCATGAGACCTGGAATAGTTCCTCTCCACTCCCTAGTTCTTACTCCTGGGAGGAGAGAATCCATGGACCTAGTTGCCTTTTCTGCATTTTAGACAGCAAAACTAACACTTATAGCTAACACTTACTGTGCACTGACGGCACCCACAGGAAGTGTCTCCCACTGAGTCCCCTTGATGGGTAAACAGTATCATATTGCTATTGAGCAGATGAGGAAACTGAGGCTCAGAGGAGTTCATGGACTTGCCCCAGGTCACACCCAGAGTCCATGGCAGAGTCAAGACTGGAGCCAGGCAGGGTCTCTGGGAAGCCGATGTTCACATAGTAGGTGAGACTCCAAACCCGGCAGACACAGGGGAAACACACAGGCCACCAGGTGCGAGGAGCCTTCCCACCTGTCTTGGTTGGACGCTGCTTTGTTTTATTTTTAACTTCTCTCTCATGCTCACATTCCCTTTCACTTCTGCTCTGTTTTGGGCTTCTTTTCTTGCAGTGGAAAGACGCTAAAACAAGTAGCAAAAGTCATAAATGTTCATGATAAAAGGTTCGAACTGTCCAAATGTGAGCGATGAGGGAAGCGCTCTCTTGCTCATCCTGCTCTCCTTTCCCACGAAGAGTCTGTGTTCGTGGGCTGATGCAGGGCTCCCAAACTGTGCCAGGGCACCCCATAGTGCTGCAGGAACTCCAGGCTCCCCACAGGAGAGTCTGCACTTTTGAGGAGAAGCAGTGACGAGGGACACATGCTAGACACTGCACGAGCATCAGCTTCAGGTGGTTTCGTTTAACCTTGGGGTGCATTGCAGCCCTCCTGATGAGGCTGTGTCTTTGCAAATCTGAGTATTTGAAGCAGTTGCCATGATAAAAAGCAGGTTAAAAAGAAAGCAGCAATTACTGTACCAAAATCAGCATGGACTAGGAGATTGGCAGGGTCCCCACTGGCTCTAAAATTTGAGAAAATGTGCCAAGCCCAAGAGATGCTCATTGGGGCTATTTCAGAGTGAAATAAATCATTGGTTTTTTTCAATTTATATTACTTTCAAACAGCTATTAGGTTGTCAGGACATAAATACACATTCAACTGACTAGTCCTGACCATAATAAATGACACGGTCAGGTATTCTTTTGGCCCAGGGACACTGAAATCTCACTAGACACGAAAGGTGCCTTGAAATCAGGCACTTTGGGAACCTCTGATTTTATGTCCGTCCCTTTGAATTTTTATGCAAATATAATATCCTATACTTTTGTATAATTGAGATATATATTATATATATATTATATATATTATATATTGTTCAATAATTGGGTTTAAAAAAATGTATATGAATGATTGTCTAGTAATTGGGTTCTCTCTCTATATATATATGTACATATATATGGTCCATTGTCCAACAACTGGGTTCTCTCTCTCTCTTTCTCTCTTTCTCCATATATATATGTGTATATATGTGTGTGTGTGTGTATATGTGTATATACATATATATATATATATATATATATATTCCATTGTCTGATAATTGGTTCTCCCTCTCTGTGTGTGTGTGTGTGTGTGTGTGTGTGTGTGTGCTATAGTCTATTGCCTGATAATTGGTTCTCTCTCTCTCTTTCTCTCTATATATATATATGTATATATATACATATATATACATACATATATAAATATATATAATCCATTGTCCAATAATTGGGACATATATATATATAGTCCATTGTCCAATAATTGGGATATATATATATTGTCCATTGTCCAATAATCTTCTTAATTAACAGTATGTCATGGCAATCCTTCTGTGTGAACACATACAGATCCACCTTCTCTTCTTTTTTTTTAATCAATATTTTTTATTATGATTTTGTGGGGTACAATTAAGGGTTAGGTGTACAATGACATTTCATTCAGGCACCCTGTTGATAAGAGGTGTTTCC